GTCCCGGTTGGAGCCACCAACCGGGACCAAAGGCCCCCTGACTGGGCTCGGCGCACAGGGCCACGTAGAGGCACATTGGTCCCGGTTCGTGTTTGAACCGGGACTAATGGGTGGAGGTATTAGTAACGACCCATTAGTCCCGGTTCATGAACCGGGACTAAAGGCCCTTACGAACCGGGACTATTAAGTGTTTTTCCACTAGTGGTGGTGTGACTTTAGGAGGATTCTTGTTTGCTCTTTTAATAGTAGTATAGATTGATCAAACGTCTCTGGTGCTTCTGTGTACACTTTGTGGTGTGACTTTAGGAGGATTCATGTTTGCTCTTTTAATAGTAGTATAGATAAGGTGTTGCATGGTCGTTGTGTTCTATGAATCGTCGCTATCTAAAATGGAAGTTTGCAGTTTGTTGTAACTAAATAAAAAAATCATTCGCATTTTTGGCACTATTTTGGTTGCTTAATTAACTTGCTCAATACATTTTCGCGAAGTAGATATCAAGGTAAACTTGTAGAAATGTGCTATTTAGCTAGCTCACACGCTAAGTCTGCTCATGATTAAATACACAAGAACCAGCACACCAGTTGAACATGCACGAGGAGAGGATGAGTTCATGGTTCATATCGCTGGACAATGACTTACTTATCGAGGCAACGAATCTAGCACTGAGAACTAGGGGTACCAATAGGAGCGGAACCTAGCTACAACACAAGTGTGACACTCGGATTTTACGAGTTCAGGCCCCTCGCGGAGAGGTAAAATCCCAACGTCTTGAGCCCTGAGGCTATACTTTCTCTAGGGTGTCTGATTACAGAAGGTTTGTGAACCCTTGTCACAGCGCTAGGGGGCAGCTTATATAGAGTGCGCCGGCCCCATTAAAGCTACATTACATGGGAGGTAAAGAGGAGGATTAATACATGCATTACTGGTAACTGCCACCCAACTACACTTGAAGCATGGCGTCACGTTCCTCGAACATTGCAGGTTCCGTGTGCCCCCTTTGCCTTCCATGTCTGAATGCTGGCGAGAGGCCGACTAGTAGCGAAGTGTCCAAGTGAGCTATTACCATCCGAGTGCTTGGATGATAACCCACAAGTATAGGAGATTGCGAAAGTTCGAGGGCTGTATTTTACCCAAATTTATTGATTCGACACAAGGAGACCCAAAGAATATTTATGAGTCCTAGCATTTAAGTTGTCAATTCAACCACACCTAGAAATTTTACCTCTGCAACAAAGTGTTTAATAGCACAATAGTTTGATAGTTTTGATAGTAGTAGTAAGAGTAGCAACAGTAACAGGAATAGGAACAGTAGCAGTTTTGTGAAGATTGTAACAACAGCAGTAGTAATAACCTAGCAAATATCAATATGAGAAAAACGTAGGCATTGAAGCAAAGATGGATATTTGTGTTGGATGACATTCATCATATAATAGTCACAACCTAGAGAGATACACAATAGCTTCAATTCATCAATTTAATATAGGCATGCATTCCGTATATAGTCATATGTGCTTATAATAAGAACTTTCATGACATTATTTGTCCTACCCTCCCGTGGCAATGGGGTCCAAAAAAAAACTAAGGGATATTAAGACCTCATTTTAATAGAGAACCGGAATAAAACATTAACACATGGTAAATACATGAACTCCAAGAATTACAGTCGTCCTCGGAGAGTACCCCAATTATTGTCACTTTGGGGTCTACGGATCAGAAGAATAACTAGTGCATATAACTAGCAGATAGTATTAAAAACTTAAATATATTCATGAAAAAATAGAGGGTTCAGATCTGAAATCATGGCATTCGGGTTCTAGTGACAAGCATTAAACATATCCGCTGCCGGTTGGACATGCTGTCAAGTCAGCGCGACAGTTGTGCCCCTTGCAGCAAAATCACCTTGCCTAGCTCGCCCCTACTCCCCGTTCATGGTTGAAGCATACCCAACTCCGACCATCGCCATAGCTAGCAGCTGACTGTCCCGAGCTCCAGTACCACGTGCTTCCCCTTGCAACCATGGTTGTAGCACAGCGTAGCCGCCTAGCCGGTCATAGCATCCAACACAATGGTTCCAACATCTCATGTCATCGCTGTATCGTGGTTGTAGCATCTGTGCAAAAATGGTTCCAACTTCTGCCAAAATGGTTATAGCATATATGCCAAATGGTTCCAGCTTCTCCCAAAATGGTTGTAGCATCTGATGTAGGGAGTTGCAGTTTTGCGCTTTCACCGACGAGAATTCCAGGGAAAAAATACCGATTGCAGCTCCGGTGGAAGTAGGTTCAAGCAAAACAAAATGCCGGTTGCAGCTACGGTAGAAGCCGATCCCAGCAAAATAAATTTGTAGCTCCCTACTGATCGTAGCACCATGAGCTACGGTTCCAGCTTCTTAACCATACGGTTGCAGTAAACATTGATGCTAGTTCTAGCATCGTCAAACTCTCCGGCTCAGTTCCAACATTTATCATGCATAGTTCCAGCAACACAAATTGTAGCTCCCAACACCACGACTCGCCGTTTCCAACACCACAAACTCGCTGGTTCTAGCTGGTTCCAGCTTTGGTCCATGTTGCTGCTGGCACTAGAGAAGCACGTCCGCTGGAGTTCCAACACCTCTCGTCTCGCGATCGCAGTACGGTTGCCCCGGTGATCCTAGTATAATGAGCTGTCATGTCACGACGGTGGCTGGCAGTTGAGATGGGAGATATGAGTGTTGGAGGAGAGGAGGGGAACGGCTGGAGGAAGGTACAATGGGGCCCTACCAACAGCGGTCTGCGACTGGAAGGCCGGGACGGGGTTGGTTATCGGGACTTGAATTTATTGAGACATATACTTGGGTCCACATGTCATAACGCAGAACTTAACGTTTTTTAGGGGTGCAGAGCTTAACAGTTAACCAAACGGAGTTCACCTTGTGGTGCCATGCGGACCTAACTAGTGGGTCAGCGTTGTCATAATAGGGTTTATTTTTGCCCAATCAGTCAAAGTTAAAGGGGTAGTTTTTAGAAGAAAATAATTAGGACCATCCTGGTAGTTTATAGGGAAAATTTGTTAAATGGTAGTTGGGTGGGACACATGAGTGGAATGTGGTATTGTTTTTAGAAAATACTCGTTGAGAAGCGCCACAATAATCATGGAGAAAAAGAATAATCATCGAGCTCTTCTTCTCATTTCAGTGACCCACCCGATTCGATTTCCCTACGATCTCCCCCGTTCCGTGATGGATCCCTCATTCCCTCTACACAATATTCTCTTATCGTTCCATGCTAACAGCTTCTTCATGTAGCTGTAAGGGGTGCTTTATTATTTTTTAAACAAACAAATCTTTTTTTTCAAGAGTACGCCAAGGCGTACTATAGCTTTATAGAAGGCAGAGTTTCAGTTGTAAGAAATTACAATCGCTGTGAACAACGAGAGTAGCACAACACCACACCGAAGACGAACAACACCACAAGCAAACTACAACACAAAGAGCCTAACCAAACTGAAACACAACACCGTTTCTCGACCGACGCCAGGCACCTCCAAAGACCACCAACTTCTGCAGAGCTTTACTTGTCGACGCACCATCCACTCTTATCGCCTAAGAGGAAGTGGCTCCGGATCTAGTTTTAATTTGCTTTTGT